TCCAAAACCAAACCAAAACAAAGATTTATTTCTCAAACCCTCAGCATACTTGAGAATTCCAGCTGACCAGCATGCAACAGAAAGCTCAGGATATCTCTATGAGAACACCTAGCCTGAACAGGAGGTCTCCATCTCCCCCCAGCAGCAGAGTCTTCCAGAAACCCGTTCAAGTAACTTCCAGGCTGTAGGTCTGTTCACAGGAAAACATCCAAAGCCACAGAGCTGTGGCCAGCTGCAGAGCTGCGTGACAGCAGGAGCAACACACACAGGCCCTCATGGAGGAAACCTCCCCTCAGCTCCGGAGATGCTTCTCCTGCTTGTGCAGCTGGGGCTCTTCAGGAGATTAGACCTTGCCTCAAATCCTCCCCTTCCACATTCTTGCATTCAGCAGTGCCAGGACAAGGAAACAGTTTTCCTCAAAGTTTAACCAGTTTGGGTACTTTGGGCCATTATAACTTGTTTTTGGCAAGGACTTGGACAAGCAAACTCCTGCCTGGATTACTCAATTCATATATCTGAGTAGCTTTAGAACGCATTTTGGTTTTTTGTTTTTCATTTGTGTATCAGCACCTGAAATTCACGCATTACAAACATGAACCTGACAGTGAGAGGCCCAAGTAAACACAGCCACACAACCTTCCTTTTGCAAAATACAACTGACATCTTCTGGCCAACCTCAGTTCTGCAGGTATGAAATCAAAGCGCTGAAATTGAAATCCTTTTGTGTTAAGAAAAGGGCTTCACAACTGTGAAGCATAAAATAGTAATGCAGTAGTCACGCTATAGCAAAGACCATTTTGGAGAACAAAAAGCAAAGCATGCAAAATCAGAGCTCAGATTCCCCCTGCTGACCACAGGACACTGGTTTCTAATGCATATTTAGAATGTAATTTTAATGTACAGTGAGACTAGAGGTTCTACCTCCATAGATATGCATCCATCCCAGGAATTAATCTATGCAAATTGGAGAAACCTCACGAAAGATGCATATAAGGTGGATTACCAGAACATGCTTTATGACCCACTTATCTGGTGCCTATGGTTCCAGTGCCCTTTTAAGCACCACTAGTTGCCAACATCTTACCCTCTGCACAGTATCTAATTCAGAAAAGTTCACCAAAAGGCAGAAAAAAAGTTTTGTTTCCTTTTTTCCTCTTCAAAAAAGGAGAAGTGCCCTACAAAGAAGTTTCTTTACTCAATCTGAATAGAAACCATGAGTCTCTTTTGGACTAATGCAGGGCAACTGGCTGAAAAAGTCCCCAAAAGGTCATTAACACAGTAACAGGAACAATTCCTACCTGACAGCTTGAGAAATCTAGAAATATTTTGAACTGGTTCTCCCACATTCAAAAGACAACGATATAGCAAAAATTCAGAGACAGACATGCTTGCATCCTTACTTTTCTATGCTTTCTACTGAAGCAGATAGTACATGGCACCAGTGTGACTGGCCAGGAACCAACTGATACCAACAGCAGCACCTGGGTGCATAGTTTTTCTTTCAGTTCTTCTCAGCAGTTACTGTTCTGAATACAGAACTCCAATACAGACATTAAAACATCAAAAAAAATCATGCTCAAATTTTAGGCAAATATTTTGTTATCCATAAAAGTTGCCCAAAAGAGGCCAGGAGAGAGAAGAGAAATGAGGAAACTGTCCTCATCCTCTTTACTAAATAAAACACCAACAAGTGGAATTAATGGAAAAGAAGTTAAATCTTGAAGACCGAGCACATAAACACTTCTGCTGCAAGTCTGTTATAATTAAAAAATATTTTCAGTGTATATACAGAGACTGCATTTCTAGTTCACTTGCATGTTTATAGGTCATAACAGGAGCACATATGAATGTCAATGTTAAGTGGTGTTTTTCAGCCACAGGTGAACATCTCTATATATAAGCCTACCAAAGGGAAAAACTTGTTTTTTTTTTTTTTTTTTTTTTTTTTTTTTAAAAAAAAAATTGTCAAATTAACTGAAGCACAATCTGGATAGTCTGGGCATTGAACTCGTGCTCCCTCTGCTGAATGGTTAGTTTCATGGAAACACAATAGTATCAAAATGTCCTGAGTTGTACAATTAAAAAAATATTTCCACGACAGGAAAACTGCAGAAACAAATTTAAACAAAGTCACAATGGCTACTCAACTTACTTACTTTTATCCCAACTTGAATATCTACAGTCCTCCTCCAAAAGTGTTTATTAATCAGAGAAAATGTTCACAATATTCTAGATTCTAGTATAGTAACTGGATCATTAATACTTCCATCCTTTTAAATCTAAAAAATTATTTATTAAGTGTAGAATGAGTATTTTTTGTTTACAAAACAGTGATTCCCTTCATTACTTGCAGCGAAGTTAGAAAAATAAATAAATACATGATGAAGGCCTGAAGACTTAAATACAAATAAACATAACCATTTAGAAACATAAAATAGAGTCTTGGAGAAGCAGCAAAGTGACAAAGTTGTAGCTCAATCCAATAATTAGATGTTTGGGAAGAAAAGGGTATTTTTGTAGAACCTACACTAACACCTAACCTCAGACATGCTGATTAGAATTCAGGCACATCTGGGGCTACCTAGTACTCACATTTGAGAAACAGACACCTGGGGTGACTATTTTTGGTTGTAGCTTCTCCAATATGGACTGTTAAGGAAGTTTAAAAAAAAAAAAAGAAAAAGAAAAAAAACCACTCACTGGAACAAGTATTTAGTATTTACAGGATTTACACCTAAATGTACTATCAGATCTTTACATGGTTGTATACTTACAGGAGCAGATTAACTTAAGTTCACTCATTTAAATGTTGTTCTGGCAGCTTCAAGTCACACACCCCATGCTTATTAGGCTAGTAACCTGCTACTCCCAGCCAGTAATGCCTACCAGCTGGTTTTGCTGTTTCAGATGAGCCAGTCCTACCATCTGCTTCAGACAGACAGAATCATTATAACCACAAGTAAGGACAGATCACTGCTGTTGGCCTGCAACAAAATGTGAGGGAGCTAAATCCGTGATTTGTGTTCCTTTTTAAAACGCAGTAATTGGTTTAATGTTATCTCTTTCCACAGTAGGCTAATTAGGGTGCTGCATGTTAAACTGAGCAAAACTAACAGGGAATTAGTAGTACACTTCTTACTGTCAAATACATTCCTTTAAACAATCATTATCAATTTGCATTTACAATAACCTAAATGTAACAGTGAGTCTAGGAGTAACTTAATGCCATAGTGACTCTTTCAAATGTAGGCTTCACTACTGGAATTTTCCATTTTGTTGTTATTAATGAACATGAATTTTACCTGAAAACACATTGCTACCTGCCTTTAGTACAGACTAGAATAGATTGCAGTAGAGTACTAATAGTAGTGCATGGAGTACATAGTAGAATCGTATTAAAGTAGAATGGTTTTTTAATCATGCAAAGGCTTTTGTTTCATTCAGCAAATTAAAGAAATATTCTGTGTAGTCAAATGAATGAAGATTATTTAAATGCTTGAAAAAGCACTGAAAGTTTTATCAGGGGAAGAATATAAAAAGCCCCAAACCCAGAAGTACTACCTGTTCAGGCCTTTAGGTCTAAGATCTCTTCTTAAAAATGACTGTAATGGAAATTGAAGTACTTTTTCCATCAGATGAATGACAGAATACATACATACAAAAAAAGGTGAAATTCAGAGCAAAGTCATCTTATTTATACCAGCTCTGCCTCATCAACACAGGTCCTTACTTTGCAGCAACATTTGTAAACAGGCCTCTATTCCCAATACATCCACTCTTGCTGGCAACAATTAACTGCTGTGCGTAAACAAGGAAAAGAGTCCCTAGAGAACAGTGCACAGGAAACTGCAGAAAACACAGCTCATCTTCAAGCTTTTGATAGGCACTCTAGAAAGCCAAGTACAAAAAAAAAAATTATAAAATACACAAAAGTATATTTTCTGGGTTTAGAACTGCAGAAAATAACTCCAAACCTGTAACAACAAGCTTATGTCCAAAAGCAAGGAGTAAAGGGAAAAAAGATCAAGTATTTTGATGAAATATCAGCCCTACTACTTATGTCTTGAAAATGAAAAGCAGAGACAAAGGTGTCCTATGTATTGCTGTATTTACACTCAATGCACTTTTGAAATCTGGGTATGTAAAATATTTTTCAAATTAAAATTGATGGATTTGATGTGCAGCAGTTCACAGACCCAATATTTAAAGGGTATGTTCTTTAAGCAAGTTAGACACTTAAATGCTGAAGCCAAGTACTCCTGGTTGTCATGGTATTAGGTACTTATTTTAGGGATAGATAATATTGCTATAAAAGGAACTTTGATGGCCCTTAAGTTCCTTTGAGCTATAAATTGTCATACACGTCCACACATACACACACCATTAAGAGAACATGCATTCATACCTTAAAAGAATTCCTCAAAATAGGCTTTTGTTTCTACAGTAGCTGTAGAATATGACATTAGGAGAAAGAGTTTGACAGTCCCAAGGCTGTCTTGAGCCGCCTTGTTTAGTTAAGCCTCACATATCCAAAAAATTTCAAGTATCTGACACTTTTAAACAATAGTTTGGGAGTTTATTTATTTTCAATTTCATTCACAGTATTTCAATAGTAGGCTACTCATTTTGCACAAGAGCAAAGCATTTCTTGTACTTCAAGCAGCTGCAGCTACTATCCATCTCCTTGTCAAATTGTACCAGTCCCAGTGAAATTTGTCTCCTGTTTGTTCTCTTGGAAAGTTTTACTAATCACTCCCATGGAATGAGAACTGGGTTGGTAATCTTTAGTTTGATTATATTTCAGTGAACTTTTATCAAAACATTTTTCCTCAGTATGTACAGACCTGGAAACCCATGGAACTTTGACCAAACTGACTTCTAGAAATCAGTTTTCAAGACTAGTCAGTAACTTCCAAATGATCACACTTGCACCAGCTTGACTATCAGGGAAAACAAACAGCAATGATTTCCAGTATCAAAATTATCCAATGGTATAGAACTGCAGCAATGCAAGTCTCTATTCTCTGTTTTTGTAATAACTTTCAATTGTTTCTGAGTTAAAATACACCACAGTTACTGTGATATCGTCTCTGTACATTCTTGCAAGGTCTTCAGGCAGCGCCAGCATTGCAGCAAGCTTCTCTTGGTCCACCTCTCCATACTCATTACTTCCAATTGCATGTCGTATTAAGTGAGTAGCTGTGTTCTGGTCAAGTGAGCCAGTGCCTCTGTTTTTCCTCTGAAGCAGCAAGTTGTGCATATAACCCAAGTTAACTGGTTTCTCAAAAGCCAGTTGTGGTTTCCGCATGTTAAACTGTGCAAGGTGTCCAGCAACAAGCTTTACAACCATCTCGTTGCTTAGCATCTCCCATAGTCCATCTGAAGCAATAACCAGAAACTTATCCTTGCCTCTTAATTTGTGGTATGTGACTTCAGGCTCTGCAGTTAAATAAGGGGGTGTGTGATAGTTTGGAGGAACATACTGATAAATATTTAAAGCCTCAGCATCGCAGCTATTCTCCAGAACACTCTGTTGCAATTCCTTACTCCATTTTAATTGCACATCTCCAAAAGCTCTGGATGGCATGAGAATCCCCAGTAATCTGTCATTCACAAGTAGAGTTTTCTCCTCAGATTTTGGGTGTTCTCTCTTTAGTCTTTTAACTTCAGATTCATCACAGGCATTGTGGTCTCGAGTTAAAGGAAGAGTAGACCACGTTCCATCTTCTTCACATACTCCTAAAATTGCTCTGCAATCACCAGCATTTGCAACGTGTAAGTGAACTCCATCAATGTGAGCCACACAGGCTGTGGCACCAGAGAAAGCTACTTGAAGGGCAATATTTCTCATCAACTGATTTTCCTGGGGAGCCTGAACTTCTAGCGATATGTCCGAGTCTAACCTTTTGAATGCACATATCATGGCTTCTTCTAAACTAAATCCTGGCTCTGTGTCTAGGTCCAGCAAATGTTGCCAGTAAACCCGGAGGTTCTCAAAATACTGTGAAGTTATTTCACGATACTCTACATCATTTGGGTGCTTGTGCAACTGCAGCATAGGCAGAACCGGTTTCATGCTCTCCACAGCAAGCTCAATCTCCTCCAAGGCTTGCCGAGACAGAAGGGACACCGCGATGTAGTGAAGCAGCCGCTCGCTCACTGCCTGCGCGCATGCAGAGCCCGCGTGACCATCAAAGACCCCAAACATCATCCCCTTGGTCTGCAGGCAAGTAGCCGCGCTTCTGCGGTCTTCAATTGGCGTGTTGGATGCCAACTGGTTACTTTCAAATTTCAACACCGAGTTAGCATTTTTACCATCCAAATCCAGTATTTTATGGGATAGTTCACCTGCCCTGAGTACCTCATTGATTTGTGATGGAGACAACTGAAAAGAGAATTGTTCTTCTTCAGTGGAAGTGTGTCTGAAGGCTTTTCTCAAGAAGAAAGCATTATCTAAGCTCCAGCTTCCAGCAGGGAAGAGGCGTGTTCCGCAGAAAACAAGCTTCCATTTTGTCTTGCTTCTAGCTGCAATGCATCTGGAGTACAAACGTCCTTTTCCTTGTAGGACGATGCTGTTTCTTGCTGAGCTTAGAATCCAGGATGATACAGTTCTTGACATCATAAGTCACTCCACAAAGAGGAGCAACTTCTTTCAGTAATGCAGAATGCCCTTACAGCCTAAAAGATAGAAATAGGAAAGGTATAAAACTTAAATATTTCACAAGAATTTTCCATATAGTAATGCAAAAGCAAGTCAACAGCTCACAGAATTGTTTATAACTTTTTCTGTAAGAGAATACTTTAGATAAAGGCATTATAAAAAGGATACAATTTCCATCACTTAGTTATGACTATGATGAATTTAACTTACAATATGATTGTCTCTCCCCATTCAGTCATCAGAAAAGCTAATTTGCATTTGTCAAGCTTCTTTTTCCTCATATTTTGTTTTTCCTTAGCAAAGCTAAGAAGTTCCAACATTATATGAAATGAAATTGTCAACTCTTCTGTAGAAAGCTCCACCTCACAAGATACAGAACAAGCAGTTCGAATAAGTTCAAAAAGAAATTACAAATGATAATGTTCTCAGGTCAGCTTTTCTGGGTTGTAAAACTTAGTACTCAAAATTCTAGAGAAAAACTGAAAGACGTGATAGGCAAGTTAATGATTTGTATA